TGAAGATGTCTATATTCCTAGTCTGGTATCTTTACCCTAGAGAATTAATGTGACTCTGACTTTGCATAATGCTTAACACAGAGTTTCAATAGGGACTTCTTTGCACATTGTTACATTGTTTTGACTGTAATTATCTCGCTCTGCTTTTTTTCCGGAGGCCTTCACCCCTACTCTGCCTAAACCCATGGTCCCTGTCTCATAAATAAATACTGGAAGGATGAATAGAAGTTAAGCGTCAAACAGGGAAAGTGTGGAAGGGGGAGGGAAAGGAGGATAGATCATTCCAAGCAAAAAGCTCAGCTTGTGCAAAGACCAAATGCAAGAAAGAACACAACAAGTTTGGAAGCTAAAGATTCCTTTTAGCTGAAGCAAAACAAGCTTGCTCACAGCAGAAGAAATAGGAGAGGTATATGCCGGATCATGAAGATCTCCCTTCGTAGACAATGGCTTAGAGTTCAGGCTCCATCCTGAGAACAGTGGGGAGCTGGTGAAGTGCTTTAAGCATGGCAGGAGCACGCCCTTTGTTTTAACTTATGCAATTTTCCATAAGCAGAGGGACCTTGGAGTATATCCAGCTTACCTCATTGTGTATATGGGGAAACAGGCAAAGTGACTTGCCCAAGAAAACTTAGTTGCAAAACTAGGACCAAAAGGCAAGCCTCTGAATTACCAACACAGTGATTTCAACAAGACCATATTGCTTCCCCTTGTAAGCAAATAGAATTCAGAGTTCAGGGGGGCTTTTTTTTTTTGCCTAAGATCTAACTAAATATGTATGTAATAGTCTTTTATGTTTTTAAGCAACTCATTCCTAAAAGGTGAAAAGACAGGGAAGGAGCAACACGAAGAAATATGTCTTCCAGAAATCTACAACATCCAAAATAACGTGCCTTTTGGAATGAAAATCCAGTCTCTCATTGTCCCAAATTTGTAATTGCTAACACTCTAAATCCCAAAGATCACAATAGAAAAAGAAAAATTAAAAGATAGAAGCTTCAGTTCCGTTTTTAAAGCCATCCTTCACAAACACCCCCACAGCTTTCTCACATGGCATCATGGACAGAAATGTATGTATATATATTTATATATAAGTCATCATTCCTGAAATAGCAATTTAAATTAGAATGAGTGATGTAACATCAAACCACAGAGGATCGTGAATTCTGAGTGCTTGGGAAATGCTGTGAGATCAGCGAGGGCAAAGGCTTTCACAAGTCCTTTATCGGAGACTTGAGTAATTTGGCCCCTCTACAAATAGCTGCTAACAGGAATAGCGGGGTGATTAAGTATTAATCCGAGAGCCCTTGGCAAACATTTCAGAAAGGTTACCTTTAACAGGATTTTATCCTTTACCTACACTTTAAAATGTCTCAAATGCTTTTACGTATTTATCCAGAGAGGAAGGAAAGGCAATTATTATTCCCCACATTATAGATATGGTGGCTTCTCAGAAACAGTGGTGAAGCCACTTGATTAGGGGTCTCAACATTCGGTCTGAACGCCCGGTGGGCTGCATCTCGGTGAAAGCTGTTACTTTGGAGAGCTCTAAATGGCAGATAAGCCTTGAAGAGAAAGGCACCTGTTCTCTCAGTTCCTTCTTGGGCTTTGCCAGAAAAGACTTCCTGACCATATATTTTCCTTTTTGTCCTTTGGGCATTTCTTCCTGAATGAAGTTGAGGCAGGTCCCTGCTTAATGGCAGCTTCAGGGTTACCAAGATGTCCTAAGTGACTTGAAGCTTTTCTAAGAACAAGGCAACAGGGCCACACACTGAACCACAACATGAGGACCACAGCTCTGCAAGTGCAAGCCATTCTCTCCTGATGGCTGAGATCCTCTCATTGCTCACAGTGCAGCCTGGCATTGGACATGAAGGATACCTGAAGGCAGTAGACAGATGGCTGCAAATTTCACTGGCAGCATGCAAGCTAAAGTTTCATTTTTTATTATTCATTAACCCATTTTTACCGAACTCCTAGTACACACCTGTCTCTGAGGATGCAATGGGGAGCCAGACAGACACATCCTTTCTCTCTTAGATTTTATGCTCTTATGGTGGTGTGTACCAAGTGTGTCAACAATTATAAAACCACATAACAAATGTTATGATGGAGGAGGAAAGATGACTAACCCTAACCTAATCCAGACATGGAGAGATCTTGGATGAAGAAACAACCAAGTGATGCCAGGGTTCTTGTTCATGGAGCCAAACAATGAACTTCGCAAACACTTGAGGTAGGAGAGCAAGGTAAGGGCTTTTATTTAGAGATAAAGTGAGAGGACAGAGCTCTTGGCTCACGCCAGGAGGGGACAAGAGAGTCCGTGGTGGTGCATTATCTAGGAGATTTTATGCACAGTTGAAGATTTTCAGGAATGGGGGTACAGACTTGTAAGACCGCCTGCCCTGCCCCCAAGGTGGGCTGGGTTGTTGTCTATTTGCTTGGACTGTTTATAGTTGGGATTGCTTACCAAATTAGCCTTTTGCAGATTACTTGATTAGGATTGGAGAAGGGAAAGCAGCACATATGTATAGTTAAAAATAAGCTGGGCCTTTTAGCAGGCTAAGGCAAATTTTACAGTGTCATAATCTATTTGATACAGTGAAGTCACGGGTTATGCTGAGATACTTTTCTTTATCTGCAGAACAGTCAAACATTCCAGGCCAAGTTGCTGCTGGTGTTTTGAGCTTTAACTGATCTAACTGAAGATGTCTATATTCCTAGTCTGGTATCTTTACCCTAGAGAATTAATGTGACTCTGACTTTGCATAATGCTTAACACAGAGTTTCAATAGGGACTTCTTTGCACATTGTTACATTGTTTTGACTGTAATTATCTCGCTCTGCTTTTTTTCCGGAGGCCTTCACCCCTACTCTGCCTAAACCCATGGTCCCTGTCTCATAAATAAATACTGGAAGGATGAATAGAAGTTAAGCGTCAAACAGGGAAAGTGTGGAAGGGGGAGGGAAAGGAGGATAGATCATTCCAAGCAAAAAGCTCAGCTTGTGCAAAGACCAAATGCAAGAAAGAACACAACAAGTTTGGAAGCTAAAGATTCCTTTTAGCTGAAGCAAAGCAAGCTTGCTCACAGCAGAAGAAATAGGAGAGGTATATGCCGGATCATGAAGATCTCCCTTCGTAGACAATGGCTTAGAGTTCAGGCTCCATCCTGAGAACAGTGGGGAGCTGGTGAAGTGCTTTAAGCATGGCAGGAGCACGCCCTTTGTTTTAACTTATGCAATTTTCCATAAGCAGAGGGACCTTGGAGTATATCCAGCTTACCTCATTGTGTATATGGGGAAACAGGCAAAGTGACTTGCCCAAGAAAACTTAGTTGCAAAACTAGGACCAAAAGGCAAGCCTCTGAATTACCAACACAGTGATTTCAACAAGACCATATTGCTTCCCCTTGTAAGCAAATAGAATTCAGAGTTCAGGGGGGCTTTTTTTTTTTGCCTAAGATCTAACTAAATATGTATGTAATAGTCTTTTATGTTTTTAAGCAACTCATTCCTAAAAGGTGAAAAGACAGGGAAGGAGCAACACGAAGAAATATGTCTTCCAGAAATCTACAACATCCAAAATAACGTGCCTTTTGGAATGAAAATCCAGTCTCTCATTGTCCCAAATTTGTAATTGCTAACACTCTAAATCCCAAAGATCACAATAGAAAAAGAAAAATTAAAAGATAGAAGCTTCAGTTCCGTTTTTAAAGCCATCCTTCACAAACACCCCCACAGCTTTCTCACATGGCATCATGGACAGAAATGTATGTATATATATTTATATATAAGTCATCATTCCTGAAATAGCAATTTAAATTAGAATGAGTGATGTAACATCAAACCACAGAGGATCGTGAATTCTGAGTGCTTGGGAAATGCTGTGAGATCAGCGAGGGCAAAGGCTTTCACAAGTCCTTTATCGGAGACTTGAGTAATTTGGCCCCTCTACAAATAGCTGCTAACAGGAATAGCGGGGTGATTAAGTATTAATCCGAGAGCCCTTGGCAAACATTTCAGAAAGGTTACCTTTAACAGGATTTTATCCTTTACCTACACTTTAAAATGTCTCAAATGCTTTTACGTATTTATCCAGAGAGGAAGGAAAGGCAATTATTATTCCCCACATTATAGATATGGTGGCTTCTCAGAAACAGTGGTGAAGCCACTTGATTAGGGGTGTCAACATTCGGTCTGAACGCCCGGTGGGCTGCATCTCGGTGAAAGCTGTTACTTTGGAGAGCTCTAAATGGCAGATAAGCCTTGAAGAGAAAGGCACCTGTTCTCTCAGTTCCTTCTTGGGCTTTGCCAGAAAAGACTTCCTGACCATATATTTTCCTTTTTGTCCTTTGGGCATTTCTTCCTGAATGAAGTTGAGGCAGGTCCCTGCTTAATGGCAGCTTCAGGGATTTGGTTCCAAGGAACTGACATGGAGTGCAACAAGGTGTCTTTGAGCAGAAGAGCAATAGTAGGGACCAGACTCAGTTGGTGGAAAGCCCCTTCCCCAACACTAGGTTTGTTTTCTGTATCACTTCACCCGGTTCTTTCCATCACAGAACTTATCCCAGCAGTAACTGGACCTTAGCTAGGTTAATTTATGCCGTCTCTTCCCCTAAATGATTAAGCTCATGGCACGGTGCTCGGAGCAAAATAGGTGCTAAATAAACATCAGGTAGACAAATGAACAATCGGAAATACTGCGAGATCAACCAGATGCGAACGGAGCACAAAGCTTCCGTCCTCCCAGCGCTGCAGGTGTGGCTCCCAGGCATGAGGCTGGGGGCAAGTTCTCCCTTCTCCATCCCCAGAGCAGGGACGTTGGATGTCCTGGGGCGGGAGCCCGGGCTGCAGGTCGGGGAGGCGCCAGCAGCGTGGCGGGGCGCCCGGGGCGCCCCTCGCCGTAGCCATTTCCTGCTCTTTGTGTGACAGCCGCGGCAGCCGGGGGCCGGGCACCGGGGCCGGGGCGGAGCCGCGGCGGGGGGCGGGGCGGGGCCGGGGGCGGGGCCGGGCGCGGCGGCCGGCGGCGCGGGGGCCGCCAGAGCATCCTGCGCCCCGGCGCGGGGCCCAGCGGTATCCTCAGGCTGCTCCCCTGGACCTGCCGCCGACCCAGGTAAGCTGCGCTCGCAGGCCGGGATGCCGGGGGGGCCGGCGCGGTGACCGGGATGCCGCTGGGGACGGCGACGCGGCCGTGGGGGTGCGCGAAGGGCCGGCGCCCCTATTCCTAGACCGCGGGGGGCGCTCGGCTCGGTGTCCTGACTACCGCGGCCTGGGGCCCCCTAAGGCCCCCGGAGGCTGGGCCTGAGGCCCCGCGCGGCCCCCGCCCCCTCCGGCGCACCCTGGTCCCCGCGGCGCGGACCCGCTGCGGGGAGGCGCCGACATTCAGCTGAGCTCCGGCCCCGCGGCCGCAGCAGCAGGTGCGCGGCCTGCGCCGAAGCCGCAGGCCGGAGAGGAAGCGGCGCTAACCCGGAGCATCAGAGACCTGCAGCGGCCGCAAGCCCGGAGGTGGCGTTATCCTGGCGCCCAGGTACTGCAGAGCGCCGGCCTCCGCCGCGGCCTCCATCTCCTCCTCTAGGGCCGGCGAGAGCCGCGTGGGCCCGCCTAGCAGCAGCAGCGTCAGACACCCAGCGCCCTGCAGTTAATGTGAGATGGGTGGGGCGAGGGGCGAAGTGGCGATGCTTCGGGGTGGGGGCTCTAATGAGAGGGGAGGCGAGTCCGAGCAGCTTTGAAGCCTTCTGGCCTGCAATAGCGTCGCCCTGCCCCCGGCTGGCAGGAGGAGGGAGGAGGAGGGAAGGGGCTGAGTGGGCCGACTCCCGAGCAAAAGGTTGGGTTTTCTTGAGCTCAGAAGAATCTGGAAGGTGCCTACCTGCTTTTTGTGGCCTCTGCATTTCAGGACAGCCCTCCCCTCGATGGGGACACACCGCCTACGTAAAAAGAACAGGAAGGGGGTGCTCTCTGTTCAGGGTGGAGGTGGGGGCAGGAAGCAAGGTCCCACTGGATATGGCTCTCTTCCCACCTGATGTGAACCAGGTAGGGAAGGACGCTGGGGCTGCCCAAGTGCCCTCACCAGACCAGGGGATCTGACTTTGACCTCTGCTTGCCTAGTTTCCTCAGCACAGCAGAAGCAGTCTCCAAGGGCTGATGGAGCCCGTCTTCAGGCCAGGCCACGAAGGTGGCATGGATCAGCTCCCTCGTGCTGTGCCCATGGCATGGGCAGGGAGGCTGGGCAGTCGTTCTGGCCTGACGGGCAAATCAAGACAGTGCTGGTTTACATGCTCCCCCCTTTCCGCCTCCTACGTGTGTCCTCTTTAAGGCAGCGAGTCTTACCTTATACTCTTGAGTACAGGCCCTGTTGGAAGCCATGCTGGCAACTCTGAAGATCACATATATTGGAGGGCAAAAATCTAGGTCCATCCCCTGGGGCAGGATTGTGAAGGCCTTGAAGGCTATTTTCTCCACCTTACGCCTTTCTCTATGACTCTCCTGGACACCGCCCACCTCCTCTTCCCTGTAGAGCCCTGTGCTTCTCTCATTCTCCTGTGTCAAACATTGTTTTCAAGAAAGGAGCCAGCGAATGCATTTATCTTCAAGAACTAAATACAAAAGAATTTCTAACTTGATGCAGAACAGGTGCTTTGGAAGTCATTTGACCAGAAGGGAAACAGAGGCTGTGAGGCAATTTAATGGCGAACAAAATATTTGACAATGGTGGCATTTCAGGCAGTGGGCTGGAAGTGGGAGTGGAGAACTAGGTAGCAGTTTTAGGGAACAGCTCTCGAAATGACAGTATCTAACAGCTGTCAGCTCTGTTTGCCGCAAGAGCTAGCTTTGGCCCTGAGGGCAAAAAAAATTGTGTGTGTGTGTATAACCGGTCAGGGGTTGTGTGTGTGTGTGTGTGTGTGTGTGTGTGTGTGTGTATGTATGTAACCGGTCAGGGGTTGTGTGTGTGTGTGTATGTAACCGGTCAGGGGTTACTGTCCCTAAAAGGCATTTGTGGAGCACCCTGTGTCCACTTGGGGGATGTGAAACTTTTCCATAGACTTACTGGGTCTGGCTGCCCTCTGTCAGGCACTTACTATGCCACCAGAAGAGTGTGCTGGTGCTTGCACAGCCCGTGCCTCTGGCTGGTTCTGTACCCTGAGCCCCTGGCTAGGGCATCAGCTCTCTGCTCACTAAGCTTCTTCATTATGTTTTCTGGCGAGTTCTGACTGATTCTATATGCACCCAAGCCTGCCTTGTAAGTCCCTGCTGGAAATGGAAAAGGAAAAACTTGCTTTAGGCTTTCGGCCAAGAGTGGGGTATACTACCCAGTATCAGAGGCTGACCTAAAGAAGAAAGCGGGGTATGGATTTAAAAACTGGAAAGGAGCCTCAAGAGAATATGAGATGTCTCCTCTGATAAATTGTGACCCCTCAGGCATTCAGTGGGCCTCCACTGCTGTCACTGACCAGCAAGTCAAACTGGCAACAAGCTAATTAGCGTTGGGAGCCGCACTCCTGGAAACAGCGCCAGGCCTCAGTCCCTATGTTTGAGGATCAGCCTCCGCTGTCAGAGAGGTTTCTTTTGGCTGCTTTTGGCCCCAGGGTTCCAAGAGCTTCACAAAATGGCCTTTTGTAGCCTCCATGTGTCCACCATAACAATGAGTCTGTTTCTTTACTGGCAAGTATTAATTATTCACTTGTCATTAATGAAACCAGACATCAGTCACCTCCCTGTGGTCTTTATAAAAGGCCTTTGGTCTTGTTCTGAGGAGCAGAGCCATGTATAGGGTTCAGAGGATGAGCCCTGCTTTAGTAGTGGAGGTGGGGCAAGGGAGGGGAACAGGCTGCTGGGCAGGGGCAAGGGAGGCCAGCACAGGTTGGGGAGGACCTGGTTCTTCACTGGATGCGCTTACTAAATGAGGGATACATGAAAGTGCTAAATATAGTGTTAAGCTCATAGCAGGTACTATACTATTGTATATGTATTGTTATAATGTGTTAATTACATAGTGATTAAGAATGTGGCTCATGTAGTCAACCTATAGCTCTTACCAACCCCTCTACTGCTAGAGCCTTCCTGGATTTTGTTTTTCCCAGGGGAAGTGGTCTCTGTGACCAAGAAACCCAGCCCTAGGTTTACCTGCAAAAGGTAGCCAGAAGAGCAGTAAAATGAGGTATCAGTAAGGGCCTCGGGTAGGAAGTGCTACTGAGTAGCTCACTGAAGTTGGGTAGAACTTGAGTAGGCAGAAAAGGAGGAGGGAATACACTGAGCAAAAACCCAGAGATGGGTCTTATATTTCAACACACAAACAGAGGTCAGGAAGGACCTCTTCCTCTGTGTGCATTCAGCATTTTGCAACCAACCAAAAAAATGTCGAGGGCACACTTCACTTCCCGGGCAGACAGAGCAGTGCAGTGGACTTAGGACACAGGACATGCCCCTGACTTGCGGTGTGCCTTTAAATCAGACACTATCTTTCTGACTTTAAAAACTGGGCAAAGGAAAGCAGCTTGCCTAGCTTATTACCTACCTGTCACTACAGGAGCCCATGGATGAGATAATGTCTGTAAATCCCAGTCTGAGAAGAAAAGGCCATGGAAACAAGAGAAGGAGGGTCCTGAATGTGTGGTTCTTTTGGATAGCTACCTTCCATTCTTAAAGGGACAATTTATTAATTATATATTGTGTGTCAATTTAAGAAGACAAATCTGTGGCCTCTCTGTACTGCCGAGCCAAGGGGAAACTGAAAGGCACTTTGTGATTCACAGATTCTGTAAGGCCCCTGGTTGTCCTTGTCTGTACAAAGACACTTCAGAATTCAGTCAGTGGGTGTGGGACGCCTCCCAAGACACAGAGTTTGGGTACTGACTGCCTAGCCATGGCCATTATGCCAAGGGCTGTGTGTGATAATGCCTCAAAGCATGACCATTCAGGCCATACTTCTTGGGCCCTGGCAACAGAGGAGAAAATGATTTGGGTACAAATTCTCTAAAGAAATTATCTTGAGACGGCAGCGCTTGGGGTTCAGGCAGAATTTCTTGGACGGATCATTCTAACTGAGTGGCATTTTGATAGACTTAGAGTGCAAGGAGAGAGGAAAGTAAACATGACCTTCTGGAGAGATGCCTGAGAAAGACCCACTGATGACTTCATCAATAGGCCTTTTGATTTTGTGTTTACAGCATCATTAGGTCATCTTAGAGCAGTGGTTCTTGGACTTCAGTCTCTTCATGGAATGGAGGGATATTTAGTATGTCCATGTTGTGTGGTCCGTATCTTCTAAATAAGGCAGGGAATGAGGTCCTCTGCAGCAAGTAAAGTTGGTGGACGGGCTAGGAAAGTTCAGGAGACTTCCGGAGGTTTGCAACAGCTGCCTCTGTGGGTGGAATAAGAAATCAGTTGGGGATGAATGAGAGGATTGTCCAACTTGACTGAAGGCCCAGCTGAGATCAAAGAATGCGTAGGGCTGATCCTCATAGAAAACACTCAATATCTCAGTGTTAAGTTTAGGGATGCCTGAGAATGAGTTTTGATTTGTGCTTTTAAAATGTGATGACTTAAGACCAATTTTAGCAAGGTATGAATGATGAGAAAAAATTCTGAAGTAGGGATCAGCCATCAACCTGCAAGCATGGTGTACCTTCATATGGGAAAGAGAAATGGGACCTGCTTCTTATGAGTTGAGGTGGAAACTGTCTGACAAAGGAATCTTCTAAATAAGTCTCCTTAAACTCATATAGCAGTAAGGCTGGTTTAGATATGGTGCCTCAGAAGACCATGATGTTGTAAATTTAAAGAAATGTATTTTTAACTAGAAGATAGGAACTTTGGCCATTGGCTCATACATTTAGCAAATCGTTCATGAAGTGTCCCTTAAGCAAGTAATGCCAAGTATAGTCCCAGCTCTGTACTACTTTTTATGTGTCAACTCAAAACAAAGATGACTATTACTGTCATTTTTGGTGATCCCAAGAATTGGTGAAATAAAGTAGCTTATAATGTAGTAGGAATTATGGACCCCAGACTGGGAGTGCTATTAGAATCCAGAGAAAAGAAGCTTCTGGTGGCATTTGACTGGTCCAACCTTCATGGAGGAAGCCTCTCTTGAACTGGGCCATGACTATGGTCAAG